GAGGCCTTAACAAGTTTTAAAGATAACAACAAAGTATACATGGAGAATAATAAAGTAATCTTAAGTATATCGTTTTTAATTCCTAGTCACGGTATCCAAACAAGTAAGCTTATCATTTGCTTGATCAAATATCAGAAGTGTGATACATCATAACAATGTGCTCCATAATTCCATGTATGTAGATCTATATTTATACAAGTGAGGATTACAAGCGAGCACACAGTCCACCTGATAGTAAGTGGATGATGTTGCTCATAGACACTTATTTTGAATTAAGATTTAAAATGCAGATGCGTTGTCTCCTCTGAAGAATAAGGAGTGCTTCGTTACCAGTAAATGGCCTCGTAGCCCACCGTAGCTATAAACACAATATTGCTATTTAGCGCTCGTGTTCTATGCAACACTTAAGCGCAACAAAGTTTAAAAAGCTTCACAATGTCTTGCTCACAAAGACAAGAATAAAATAAAACTAATTTATAGACCTGGGTTGTACGACTCCTTTTCTGAGGTCCGTATGGGTAGGTAGAGATGATCGATGGATGTTGCAGAAACATCGATGTTGACATCGATGTTGGCATCGATAGCTCAACATCAATGTTGAACATTATCGATGTTTTTGCACATGTATTTAATAGGTTAGAATTAGATGAATAATACAAATAGACATGTCGTTTATGGTATATTATTAATGAAATAAAAGAAATTAATAAACAATGTACTTAGTTTAAAACAGTAATATAAAAAATTTGAAGTATTTAACAAATATCTAGTTCATTTGTTATACAGTCTAATATTTTTCACTATTTATTGAAGAGATAGTCATTTTGACAAAGAAGTACCTTTTAACTGTTTCTCTGTGTGTGGTGTCAATTAAAACATGGATCTTTTAATTTTTAACATCGATGATCATCAAACAACTCAAGTACCAGGTATCCTTTTACCTATTTCTGACGCCAAGTAGCATTGCATGTGTTCTAATATGAGGGGTATAGAGAGTTAAACAGTAATTTAGATATTCCATCACTATCCACAGAGGCACAGACTAAACAATAGACAGAGGTGACATGGGAACGCATTTGTAGCCTTCTTTGTATTAAGTTATTTTCAATTGTTTATGAGCTGCAGTGTAGCCATTTACCATGATTATTTAAAAAAAAACCTCATTCATGAAATAAGTGAATATTATATATGAAACAATATTCACCACTAAACCACTTTTTTCCACGTTATATGTTTAAATCCTTTCTTTTATTGTATTTGCTTGTGATAAGATCGCGTAGACAACTGCGCTGAGACCGTAATATTAGCGCACCACTATCTATATCTTTATTTTAAGAATAACTTTATGACTTGTACAAACGATGTCACTCCGACGCTGTCAATCTATATTTTCAACATATAAATAAATTTGAAGGGTTTATCTGCTAAATCAAAACAAATACCTTTTATCCACCTCATGAGGATTTGCATGCTATTAAGCCATGAAAAACCATTTTTAATTATTTTAATTATTTTGTCTATCCATCTATCTGTCTGCCTTTCTGTCTGTCTGTTCGAGGTAATCACCAGAATGGCCGATTCCTTTGTAACAAAACTTCACAAACAGATAGAGCGCAATACCAGGAGTGATCTAAACTCTATTTTTTCAATAAAGCTTGGAGTCTATTTTTTTTTTCTGAAATCGAAATATTGGTAACATAAATGGACATAGATGATTATTTTCACAAATCTAAAAGACTCCAACATTTATAGATGAGTCGCTAGTACTAAGAATGTTTTCTGATTCGCTTCAAAATCTTAAAATTGAATCGTTAGCTATATATTATATACGTATATATACGTGGTAGAGCCATGCTGCAATTATATTAGTAGTATAGTTGTAGCACAAATGGGTCGGCTCGACCGGGAAAGGATCACGCTCTCACAGAATATCGGCGTAAAATAGTAGCTTAATGCTGCGTGTTTCGTATGGTGAGTGTAGAGAACCGGCGACCCTTTTTACTCCAAACAAGTCATTCCATCTTAGTCCTCACGGGTGACAACGCATCTGCATTTTGATTCGTAATCGAGGATAGATGTAGATGTCTATGGGCCACAGCAACCACTTACCATCAGGTGGACTTTGTGTTCGTTTGTCACCCTATCCTATAAAAAAATTGTTAAAAAGTAGGTATTTTCCTTATTTCAACTAAGGGTAAAGTTACAGCCTATGTACGTTCAATGGCTGACCACATGCTCAATTCTGAGAGCATTTATGCCGGCTATAATCCCATGACGTTTTACCTTACCACTATATAGCAAAGGCAGGAGATTTTCTAGTAAGAAGTAAGGCTGCCAAGGCGCTATAATCCAGCGACGGATCTATTCTATGGCTTCGCTGTCAACCACGTTTCGACTGTGAAATATAGGTAGAGCGGAGGGTATAGAAAATGGCGCATCGCCATATAAACCTGTTCCTCCGCAAGTCTGCCTTGGAGAACGAGTGGAGAGGTTATCTCTATTGTGTGAGAAACCGCATCTCTAGTTAGCTCCACCCGATTTCTTTTTGGTTCACCGTGGGCAATGAAGCCACGATCTCTATGTTCTCCGCTACTACATGGCGGCAATTATTTTTGGAGCAACTCATATTAGCTTCTCTTCGAGCTTATCGCTGGAGATAAATCATCTGCTACGACGAGTGAGTAAAGTCACTCATATTTTGAATTTCGAGCAGGAGGTGTAAAACTTTAGCAACCGCGTAACGATGCATCGAATTAAATTAATCCACCTTTGTTGTCATTACACGTTTTTAAGATATATGCGGTGAAATTAAATCACGACATCCTACTAAAATTATTTCTAATTTGGAATCGGAAAAATCGCATACATAATAAAAACTTCCTACTGGGACGGTATAAATTTTGTTAAAGGTTTATGAAAAACGTTACGATAGGATTTTCACCTATATCTTGAAATTTACATACATAAATTGCACAAGGAACTATTAACAAGGCCATACAAATACTTGTTCCGCGCGGGATTCGAGCCCGCCACTTCGCTATTCGCCATTTGCATTGCGCTAATATATAAGTTTATTATTCATTTTATTACAAATAATGTGATTAGCATTATGTAAGACTAGTTTTATGCACAACACGGCACAATAAAACAAGTTTAGCACAGTCCTTTACTTTCGGAATAACAAACAAACAATTAACAACAGAACGTCGGACGTTCGCGAAGCTTAGGGAGCTTGATTCGCTACATTAAAATAAAGTGATCTTAAATTACGTTAACAAAATATCTCTTATTTAATTGTGAGCGCACATTAACCTTGAGTGAAAAATGAAACAATTTTATAAAACATTCAGTTCGGAAATTTTAAGAAACCTATTTTAATTTGCGAGTTACTAATATCAGATTCTTTCATCTTCGATATTAGTTTACCGTTACCCCAACCCTAAGAAATAAGTTTAGGTAAAGTTTAATTTAAATACTACTACTAAAAAAATAAAGAATAATAATATGTAAATTTAAATGTTATATAGACGATATACATTGAGCTATTATGTACTACGTACTAGAGGAGACACTGCATTCAGCTACTCTGTTCCACTCAACTGCGGTGCATACACCGCACTTTAATCAGTCACTCGCTAGGCGCTTGTAGAGTTGTCACGTGTTGTGTTGATTTAAAAAAAATCTCTTGATAAAAATATGTCGTCTTGTGTACTTAGATATTGCACAAATAATTCAAGAAATGTCAGTAAAAACCAAGGAATTACTTTTCATCGGTTAATAAGATACTTATTCAATAAAAAAGTATTATAAATTAATAATAAAGCAAATTATTCCTAAGACGCCATCTCGTATCATTGAATATAGATTATGAAATTAATATGTTCAGATGCGACATTTCTGTGGGTACTTAAGTTTAGGACGAATATATTATTATACTACACATTTTTTTTGTAGAAACATATAAGTTACTATAATTAAGCTAAATTTTTCATGTTTAAATCTGCTTATTATTCTTTTATTTTATTTTTTAGGTTTCCACTTCAAAGTCAAAGTGGAATAAATTCGTCCATTTTTAACTCTCGCGTGCCCAGCATTTATGAACGATTATTTACAACATTTATGATTCTAATTTAAATAAATATATTTGTAATTTAAATTTTATGTTAATAAGTTTTGTTAAACATACATTTAGTACGTTTTTTTATATTTGACATAGATACCTTTTAAAATATTCAGATAACAATATCATCAAAATGTAATTCTGACATAATATTATGTAATATTATATTAAATTAGCACATATACAAAATAAAAAACATTTTAAAAAATTGTAAGTACTCGATATAATTAACAATACAATATAAATAAACAATTATTACATACTGACCATTCTACTTACGTATAATCTATAATAACAAAAACTGACCGCGCAACAGTGCTTCCAGATTCACTGTAATTACAGTAGATTTACTGTATTTTAGACTTTTCTACTGTATACTGTAATGATAAAATACAGTGTATGGAATATACTGTATTTAATTTTCATATAGCTTTATCAATTCTAATACGTAAAACAGAACGCAGCTAATCTACACTACCACAGACTAATATGATGCTAATACACTACCTTGCTACAAATTTATTTATCTATGATCTACACCCACTGAACCACAAACTAATAAGAGTGCTAGCGCCATTATCCATAGACAATGTACAGTAAGTTTGTAACAAAGTTGCGGGGAATTCCCTGGCAAATCGGAACTAACGTGGAGCACTCTGGGACGCAACTAGCATAAGTAGGTTCTTGTTACTTGTTTTAACTGTCTTACAAAGGAACATTGTATTTTTCGTCTAATTCATTACACTTAAAGTAGTTTTGCCATTGTACATACATTTTAATTGAGATTTAAACTTTTTAATTGTTTTGGGTGATGTGAAATAAAATTTAAACTAAAAACTTATTCGCTATAATTTTTTTCACTGTATTTATTACTGTAAAAATGAGCTCAAGCAGTGAGGAAAGTGATGTGCGTAGCGATGCTGGTCCGTCAAGAGCTAAAAAGAAATATCGGCAACAATTCCGTGATGAATGGCTTCAATTACAAGACTACCGTAAGTGGTTAAAGCGTGATAAAAAGTCGATTTATAAATGCATTTGCACTGTTTGCGATTCTTCTTTGATTGCCGATCTGGGTGCTATTAAAAGACACAGTGAAGGTGCTAAGCATAAACTTCGTCTTCCTGCCCTATCGCATGTGCGTACCATTGATAATATTTTTAAAAGTCAGCAACGCGCAAGTGATGATGATCAGCGGAAAATTACAGAATTAAAATTATCGGCTTTTATGGCAGAACATAAAATATCGCACATAGTGATGGATCATCTCGTTGATTTACTTCCAAAAGCTTTTCCAGATTCTAAAATCGCAAGTAATATCAAACTTAAACACACTAAATTACAAGCAATAATAAATAACGTTATCGGGGCTTCTGAAGGAGAATGTTTAGTCGAAGATTTAAAACGCGAAAAGTTCTCTATAATGGTAGACGAAAGTACCGATGTTGCCAGTGTGAAAACAATGTGTGTTGTAGTCAAATATTATGATCCTAATTTAGGACGTATCGTCAGTCGATTCTGGGACCTTATTCAAATATTTGATGACAAAAAAGCTGGAACGTCTGGTGATTACTCAGCCACGGCTGAAAAATTATTTAATTCAATAATAAAATCATTTCGAGACAAAAATATACCCTTAGAAAATACTATCGGGTTTGGTTCTGATGGATGTAATATGATGATGGGCTGCCATAATTCAGTGTCCTCACGATTTAGACAACTATGTCCAGGTATTACAGTGATCAAATGCCTTTGCCATTCTTTACATTTGTGCGCTTCCGACGCTTGCAAAGAATTGCCCCACGATGCAGAAAAACTGACTCGAATGATATACAATTACTTCAAAAATAGTAGCAAACGTCAAGCAGAGTTAAAGGAATTTCAAGTATTTACAGACACTAACATACACAAATTGCTACGTCCAGCCCAAACGCGTTGGTTGTCTCTTTCCAGTGTTGTGAACAGAATTATGGAGCAATGGGACGCTTTGCGATTGTACTTTGACGATAAATGGCTGGAAGACCAAGATTGCCAAGCCATTCATATTCTTTTGAATGATCACATCATCAAGGCATATTTTTATTTTTTATGTTGGATGTTGCCAAAGTTTACCCGCGTCAATGTATATTTTCAAAGCGAAGATCCGGTTATTATAGAAGCCCATAACAAAATGAAAGAGCTATACAGAGAACTCTTATCCTTATACATAACTCCGAATCATTTAAAGAACACCCCACTCGACGCAATTGACCCTACTGATAGTCAACATTACATAAATCTGAAAAATATATACCTGGGATTGGGTGTTGCTAATCAAGTTGCTGTCCCAGAGCTACATGTAAGTACCGAAGAAGTTACAGTGATGAAACAGAAATGCCTGAATTTTATCGTTAAAGCATGCGTGGGTATTCGGAAAAGATACAGTTTGAATGACCCAGTTTTGAGCTCAATCGCAAAGTTGGATCCCGATTCTTGCTTATCTGATAATAGACTACAGTCTTTGTCTTCGCTGTTCCCAGTGCTGCCAAGGCTTAAACCCCAAACTTTAAATGATCAACAGACGTTAGATGATGAATGGAGAAATTTAATGTTGACTGCGGATGAACAACATTTGAATACAAATCAACCAGCAGACGTGTTTTGGCATCAGGTAAAATTTTATCACTTAAGAACTTTACGTATAATATTGCACATATGTTTACATTTTACAGATTTGTTTTTTTTTTCAGTTGTCTCAAATCAAAGATAGCAACGGAGATAATAAATATCATTTTCTGCCTCGTTTTATGCTCCAAGTTTTATCGTTGCCTCACTCGAACGCTGAGTGCGAACGAAAGTTTAGTGAAATAAATAATATAAAAACAAAGCAGAGAAACTGTTTAGTCACAAATACCATCAAAGGCAACATGCTAGCTCAGCAAGCCATTCGGCGGACTTCCGAAAATTGCGTGAATTTTAATCCAACTAAGGAAATGATTTCAAGGATGACAGCAAAGATTTATGAAAATCATGAGCAAATTGTTCTGGAATAAGTAAATCAATAATAAATGTTTTTTCTTGTATCTAAATATATGTTTTTATTTATTTAATAACTTATAGCAATTTGTATTGATAAAGAGTCATAAAGCAGCTTATTTTTCTATCAATATTTAAACAAAGTGTTTCCTGTAATTTTACTGTAATTGATTTTGAAATCTACTGTATTGTTTTTAGAAACTCCTGTATTTTTTAACTGGCAACACTGTAATTTTACTTTTGGGATCTGGAAGCACTGCCGCGCAAGCGCAAAGCGCGTTTATACCAACTGCGCATGCGCGACTCTACTATTACCGCGCATGCGCGAAGACATAGAAGTAGCGCACAATTTTTGTTTGGAATAGCTTCTCTAGTACGTAGTACATTATAACTCAATGACGATATATTATTTTTATTCAGAACACGGCCTTTTGGCACATATAAATTAAAAGTGATAAAACAAAGGATAACGCTACAAGCCTTAAATTTCCATTGCGCTGTTAAAAATTCTTCTTTTTTAATGAAACTAATTTCATAATATCGAAGAAGTTTCGTTATAGTATTTTACACAGATTATATATAAAATAAACATTTCAAAATATACAAAAACTTTTTACCTATATATATATATATATATATATATATATATATATATATATATATATACATAACACTCAGGTCTGTCACCCATAGTATTTTACACAGATTACATATAGAAATAGACATTTCAAAATATAACAAATAAACTTTTTACCTTACTAATTATTAAGAGGTGTAATTGTTAAGGTAAATTCACACTGACCTATATACAATTAAATATAATTATTCGATTTTATACGTGGTAGAGCCACGCTGCAGCTATGTTATGGTTGTAGCACGAATGGGACGGCTCGACCGGGGAAGGACCACCCTGTCACAGAATACCAGCGTAAAATAGCAGCTTAATACTGTTGTGTTTCGTATAGGGAGTGTAGAGACCCGGAGACCCTTTTTACTGGAAACGAGGCACTCCAACTTAGTCCTTAGGAGTGACAACGCATCTGCGTTTTGATTCTTAACCGAGGATAAATGTAGATGTCTATGGACCACAGCATCCACTTACCATCAGGTGGACAGTGTGCTCGTTTGTCACTCTTTTTCTATAAAAAATCCAGATTTTCATATACACACAAATATATATGTATGTATATTGACGATGTAGAAAGATAATATCATAACATAGAAAATCGAAGACACTTCATTGGAAAAAAGGCATTCCATAAACAAAATAAATATTCTATATAATATATTAAAAATAATTATTCAAGCATATAAAATCAAGGTTATGCATTGAAAGCAGAAAAGCATAATATATAACGACCCATCTCAAATGTTACGAAATTGTTCCACAATCAAATAACGTAGGGCGTGAGATCATCAATCAGGGAAACGCGTCTATCAGGATTAACGTTTACTGTGCACCAGAGCTACAAAACTCGCTTTATATTTCTTCTTATTTTCATGTCTTAAATAAACATTTTACGTAGCAAAAATAAATTTAGTTTAAAAATTTATAATTAGCCAATAGTAGTTACAGCCTATATATATCCCACTGTTGGGCATAGGCCTCCCCCTCAATGCATGCAAGTTGGCGAACTTCACATGACATCGAAATATTTTTTTTTCTTATTCCTCAGACATACAGGTTTCCTCACGATGTTTTCCTTCACCGGCGAGCACGTGGCAAATCAGCACTCAAATTGCAATTAACGATTTCCCGGATCGAACCCGGGTTACTCGCGTTCTGTTATAATGGGTTTTTCAACATGAACTTTGTTTTTCAAAGTTATGACATTTAGTTTTTTGACCTATTCGTAGTAGATGCTTTGGCAATTGCTACAATGAATTCAATTTCGCTCGAAAATCGCATTAAAATAATTAAAATCAACTATGAAAATGGTGGTTCTGTTAAAGTTACGTTTCGTAAAATTCGTGATATTTTCGGACAACATAATCGTCCTTCTGAGACCGCTATTAAGAATTTGGTCGCTAAATTTGGATCGACAGGCTCGGTACAAAATATGCCAACGCCAACTCATATTCGACCGGGTCGTTCAACCGAAAACATCACAGCCGTAAGCCACAGTGTTGAAGAAGATCCAAATTTGTCAATTCCTCGACGTTCTCAACAATTGGGGTTATCCAAAACCACCACATGGCGAATTTTGCGTAAGGATATGGCTTTGAAGCCTTACAAGGTTCAACTGGTGCAGGAATTGAAGCTGACCGACTAATCACATCGCCGTGGATTCGCTCAATTCATTCAGGAACAGCCCGCTGGTTTTTCTGAAAAAATTATTTTTTCATACGAAGCCCATTTTCACTTGTCAGGGTACGTCAACAAGCAAAATTGCCGCATTTGGGCTTCTGAAAATCCTAAATCGATTATTGAGAAGCCTTTGCATGCTCAACGTGTCACTGTATGGTGCGCTATGTGGTCTGGAGGCATGATTGGGCCGTTTTTTTCGAAGATGAGGCTGGAAATGCGGTAACGGTCAATGGATCACGCTATCGCGAGACGTTAACATCTCAATTTTGGCCTATTATTGATGACATCGATATCACAAACATGTGGTTTCAGCAGGACGGTGCCACATGTCACACAGCCAACGCAACGATCAATTTATTGCAAACCAAATTTCCCGATCGCATAATTTCACGAAATTCAGCCAGATCGTGTGATTTAACACCACTGGATTATTTTTTGTGGGGCTATGTTAAGGACAGAGTCTATACGGAGCCAATCGAATCGATCGCGGCCTTAAAACTCAAAATCCGTGACGTGATTAACGAAATAGACTCGCCATTTTGCCAAAAAGTGATTAAAAACTTTGATGAAAGAATCGACATCTGTCAGCGTGGTCGTGGTGGACATTTGCCAGATATCATTTTTCATTCATAATTGCCAAACTTTTATCTTCGTAATACAATAAAAATTTGAATCATCTTCATCTAAACTCTTTGTTTTATTTTGTTTTAGAAAACAAAGTTCTTGTTGAAAAACCCTTTATTTACAGCGAGCGTTAACCATCCGAGATACCACTGCTCATTAGCGAATAGTGACTACATTTATTTGTTAAACTCACCTAAGTTAAGGGATAGAGCATTCAAGTCCCGATGTTGTTACTATGAATTATTTGCAAGTAACAGTCAAGCGACAGTAGCCCAATGGCTGAGTGCGCACCGCGAACTCAAAAAGTCGTGGGCTCAAATCCACCATTCGACTACTGTTATGTACTACTCCTAACACAAGCATTTTATGCTTACCAGGGGTTATTCAATTTAAAATCTAAACACAAATGCGTTGTTCTCAGTAAAAAGTATCTCCGGTTCTCTAAGCTCATCATACAAAATGCAGCAGCATTAAGCTTCTATTTTACGCTGGTGTTTTGTGAGAGCGTGGTCCTTCCCCGGTCGAGCTGACCTTATATCGTGCTATAACCATAATATAGCTACAACATAGGTCTACAATGCATGTTTCGGTTTTTAGGCGTAAACTATACGTATTATATACAATAATCGCTCACATCCATTATCTGATCCATTACAGCCTTAACAAAATATAAGAGCCGAGCTCAGATGGATAACGCTCGCTGTAAATATAACAGAACGCGAGTAACCCGGGTTCGATCCCCGCCGGCACCAATGAAATTGTTAATTGCAATTTTAAGTGCTGATTTACCACGTGCTCGTCGGTGAAGGAAAACATCATGAGGAAACCTGCATGTCTGAGGAATAAGAAAAAAAAATATTTCGAAGACATGTGAAGTTCGTCAACACGCATTGAGGAAGCGCGGCGGACACTTCCTTGCCTTAAAACCGTCTCAGAAATGAGAGGAGGCCTGTGCCCAGCAGTGGGACATATATAGGTAACTTCACTTTTACTTTACTTTTTACAGCCTATGCCTACTAGCCTAAGTCCACTACTATACATAGTCCTCTCCCATAGATTGCCTTATAGGAGGGGTTTCGCCACAGCTGTCACGCTTGGCAAGCGGGTTGTCAACCGCAGTTGTTTTAATATTTTGAGTTCTTATCAGGTAGAAGAAGCTGCCCATCTCCTTTTCTTGTTGCCCTCTGTCACCTCTTACAACACTTACGGATGATATGGGGTAGTGGGTATACTTACACCGCCACTACATGATCTCATTGCCCACTTAATGTGTAGAAGTATTGAATATGATGTAAAGTAAAGTAAAGTTACAGCCTATATACGTCCCACTGCTCGGCACAGGCCTCCTCTCATTTCTGAGAGGGTTTTAGGGCAAGGAATAGTCCGCCACGCTGCCCCAATGCGTGTTGACGAATCACATGTCTTCAAAATATTTTTTTCTTATTTCTCAGACGTGCAGGTTTTCTCACGATGTTTTTCTTCACCGCTGAGCACGTGGTAAATCAACACTTAAAATTGCAATTAACAATATCTTGGTGTCGGCGGGGATTGAACCCGGTTTGCTCGCGTACTGTGAAATTTACAGCGAGCGCTAACCATCTGAGCTACCACGGCTCGAATATGATGTGAGGCAACGAAAAAGGACGTAAGAGCTCTCATTGAGAGCCTCTCAACAGAAAACATAAAAACATAACTCTCCTAATTGGAGTGTCACTCAAAGTCCTCTTTCTAAACAATCTTACCGAGATATTCCACCTTTTTCAAAGGCATTAAATTGTTGATAAAGGTTGTTTAGTACACGATAGGAAGTGAGATCGATAGATTAGTTTCTCACAATAAATTTCGCGTTCTGTCAATATTGACAATTGCGTTTTTTTCTACAGAAACCAGCTAAAGTGAAAAGGGGTAAGGACAAAATCTGAGAATTTTTTTCTTAATCTAATATATTTTATAATTTAATCCTATAATATAGTATTTATTCTTTAATTTAATATTTTCCTCCACACGTACGTGTTTCCAATTTATTGCATAAAACTTTATATTTAAGTCAATGATAAAAATTAAAAAAAAACTAATTCATTACGC